TTTACAACATTTGTTTATTTTTTTTTTCTTTAATTTTATAATTGAGGGCCATTTTTTATTTCTTGATTCAATTCTTGCTTATACAACAGTATTTAAATATTTGAAGATTAAAAAAAATATATATCATTTCTATTACCGAATTTTCATTGGGGCCATTTTTACCTACCTGTCATATGGGGCCATTTTTACCGGGGCCATTTTTTCTGGGGCCATTTTTTCCGGGGCCATTTTTTCTGGGGCCATTTTTTCCGGGGCCATTCTTACCTACATTCCACATAATAAATAAATGATGGTATTGCTGATACAAGAAAATGTTATAATGTTATTACCTTATGCTTAGCACATGCTAAGAATTCTGGTGTGGAGAAACACCTATACAAGTGATAAATATAATGACGATAATACATTTTTGAGAGAAACATTGTCAACAACAATACTCTACCAACCGCGTCTAGTAATAAACATTCTGTTTGGATTTGTTATTTTATTCATGTAGACCTTAATTGTCATCCTAGCCTTCCTAATATTACTTTATTGTGGTTTATTTAAAGGACGAAGACCAGAAGGTAGATTTCCAGTTTTATTTTACTAGTTTTGTCATTCCATGTTTTCAATTTTGGTTTTTTAAATGCATTTATTGCTAATATTACTTATTCTCATTCATTGTTCAGCTTATTTGCGATTTTATGGCAACATCCTGCCATATGTCTAAACGGCCAACTTGGACATGGTCGTACAATGCAGCCCGGCATGGTTTTTTTTTTTGTTGCACTGTGTTTTTTTAAACGTAGATGCTATATGTCTGTGTCAGGGACGGCCGCGTCATAGAATAGAATATGTTTTATTCTCACAACGACCTACAGACTACCACGACAATACTGTAAATCGCATCAGACTGCGTTGTACGACACTGTCTAATTTGGCCTTAATTATTATTCTTGTGGGATCTTAACAGCAACATCCAAGGCATGGCTTAGCGTAATGGTTTATTTTCCTGATTCCTAATTTAATTAGGAATCTGGGGAATTTGTATTAGAGAGATGTGTGTAGCAGGGTGAGAACAGTTTGATATACTATTACATTAAAAATCACACTTGCAAAATGTCCTCTTAAAGTTTTTTTTTAACCATTTGGGTATTTTAAGTTACTAATTTAAGTGAATCAAAAAAAGTAGTATAGTAGCCGTATTAATATAAGTGAAGGTATATTTTTGCATTCTGGGTATTCTGTAGACAGATCGTCTTACTTGTAAGTTGTGAGAGTAAAACCTGGTTTGAGAGTTCAAGAGAAGAATTATGGGCACCATTGCATCATACTTTTACTAAAGATAGAAATAACACGGTCTCTCAAATATAAATTGAGTCTCCACATACATGTAGAAAGTACCAAATAAAAAACTTTGTCAAGCAGAAAACACATGTTCCCACTGCTGGGAGACTATTATTTGAAACTATTTTTCTTGATGTTAAAAATATATTTCATTAAAATTATCCATAAGAGCACCTTGCATTACATCTCAAGTCTAATTTATTTCCCATCTGTGATGCAATTTTGCAACCCCTTTTTCCACCTCCTGGTGCTTAAGAATGATTCTGCATTTAACCTTTGCCATAATCAATGATGTTCCACCAGATAAATATTATTTACACATTTCTTAGTATTTCAATACAATTTTAAAATTTCATAAAGTCATATAGCATTTAATAAATACATAGGTAGAAAGACTCTCATGTTGTCTCCGGAGTCTGCTGGAAATCAGCAGTGTTTTCCAAGAGAAGGTCTCCCAGAAAATAATCCATCTCTGCAAATTCAGAATGTTAACATGTGTTTATTAAATATTACTGGTCTTTCACAGGTTATCTGGCCATTGGTATTACCATGCCAGGCAAAATTAGATCTTCCAGAAGTTGCATCTGTCAATAAGAAGAAGATTAGGCCAGTGAATCTAGAAACTTCCATTTCATCTTTGATGATGCCCTCTATGTTCTCAGATTGTCATTATCATCGTCATTAACCAATGTGAAATAACCAAAAGGCTTTAGCATTTTTGGCAGAGTGTTAAAGCTGTACGTTTTTAAAAATGTGTCCAATCCAATATATAAAATAAAGGTGTACATTCTTTTTTGATCACCCAAAAGAAAATTGTTGAAGAGAAGAGAAAAAAATTACAGAAACACAAAAACACTTCCTGCCTAGCCAACAGAGGAAACCACACCAAGACTTTCCTGCTTTCAAAGATCCAAATGCGTAACTATGGCCCTTGATACCCATGTTAGTAGATAATATCAGTACCAATATATACATTACCATGCACTTGGAACACAAACGCAGTGTTGTGAACAACCTCAAAGACAGATATGCCACTGTTCGTGCATTCGGCACTCATTAGTGTCATCCGATCTTAGTCTTTGAAATTCCTCAAGGTTGACAGGTATGCTACTTGAGTAAGAACCCAAGCAACAAGAACATCAGATTCTGCTATTTTTACACAAATCTACAATAACAGACCACATGTCTCAACTAAATTGCATTCCAAAGTGGGATGCAAGAATCCTGAATATAGAAATGGCATGGTTCAAAAATCACTGTATATCAGAATAATAGAAAACAGCCCCATGAACCACTACGAAGGAGGACATGAATTTTCTCATTATGATGACATCATTCAAGACTACACTGCCATAGAGGAGCGACCAGTCATAAAGAGCACCAACAATAGGACTGAGGGCGCACATCAACTGCGACAACATCAAGGTGATGTAATGACCGACCTGTCATAACACCGACAATGCATGAGAATGCTGGTAGACAACCAGCAAAACTTGTACTGTGTATGAATGGATGGATTTATTCTGTGTAAACACCAAGGATCACCCACGAAAGTCTGAAGAAAAATTAATTTCCAGTTGGGACCTTCTGGTGCTGATTGGGTAGTATGATGGTTGACAATCCCCTACACCCATACAAAGAGTGTTCTGCATTCTTTAATGTGCTCATGCTCCATAATGAACTGGGGAACTAGAGATTTCCACGGTTCAGCACACACACATTGGTTACCACCAGTTTAGGCAACTGAGCTAAGCTGCTCTCTGTGTCTTTCAAAAAATTGTTTGGATCCTCACAGAAAAGAATGTACACCTTATTATATCGTGGGTTAGGTGCAGCAGTTATATTTTATTTGCTAATTCATTGCCATTTTTATTATTTTACAGCAGCTTATAGCTTTGCTTCATTTTAAATTATTAACACCTGGTTTTATTAAAATTTTATTTGTTATCGATTATGTTAAACATTATTTTTATTACTTGTCAAATATAAATATTTTCTATTATATTCTTTTTTTTAGAATAAACAACATTTATTTATTTGTGCGTGTTTATCAATAATAACGTATGATGTCAATTACAGCTAAAAGGAAAGAAACCAGTAAAGAAGGTAGGAGTTAAATCGCCAAATAACAAGGGGCGAGGTGGAAGAGCAGGTAGCGGTGTTCTCATATCAGTACCTAAAGCTGTGACCCCGCCGTCACCTGATGACATTCAGTCAAGGTATGTTGCGAATGCTATTTACATGTTTAGTCAGTATTAATGTATAAGTTGTATTTTTAATGGTTTATTGATTTGTATTATATTTTGTATATCCTTTGCCTAAATATATAACAATAGTATCATAATCATAATAATAATAAGTTGTTGTGGTTAATCCACTGTTTTCAATTTCACACATGTTCTTTCATTTCTTTTAAATTCACTAGACACCACTCCCTACAACACTACACAAACACATGTAATGCTATGCAAACCATTACAGACTCTTTGAAGTAAAAAAATTAGGCAATTTTATCCTAAGAGTGGCACGCCATGTGTGTTTACGAAATAAATAGTAATAAAATATTGAATCAAACCTAATGTTGAACCTCGCTTTTTTGTTATTATTCACTCTGGTTTACCATCGAGCCCTCTGCTGGCATAATTTCCAATACGTTCTACCGTCATTTATATATATATATAAAAATATGATATATATATATATATATATTTATATGTGTATATATATATATATATGTGTATATATATATATATATATAT